CAGCGCGGGGCTGGGGCAGGGAGCACAGACCTGCGGCTGGGGGAGTTGGGTCACGCGTTCAGACGGTGCCGCTTGTCCCCTTGGGCAAGTCCTGCGGAGTAGGGTTAATATTGCTGACCTATTTTTGCAAGGGGAGAAGAGCGGGGAAGTGGTGAGGTGCTGGTTTAAAATAAGAAGGTAAAATCCTGCCGCGCTCTGCAGCTCTTTCCCAAAGCCACAATAACAGACTTGGTTGCAAACAATTTTTTGCCTGCCTCACCCCCCGTGCTGTTAGCCACCGAAGAAGGAGCTAGAATTTCTCTTTGGCGGAGCATCAGCAGCAGAATTGCTAACTATGTGCCCGTTATAGAAACTTTTTAGTACTGGGGACAAGCCAAGAAAAAAGCCCAGATTGACTCTCAGCTCTCAGCTGGTGCTCGCAGCACTTCCACCTCGCAGGAGGAGCAGCACCGCTTTGACTCTTGCACCGGTGGGATGCAGGCTGGAGCCCTCGAGCCACGGCCCGGGAGAGCCGGGATGGTGTTTCCCAGGACGCTGGGCACCCTGCCCACCTCCCTGCCCATCCAGGAACTCCTGCCCTGCTCTGGCAGGTCGCTTTGGGTATATTTAGAATTTCGGGTTTGCAGTTGCATAAACTGAGCCGTCACGCCAGGGTGCAAGCTCCCGCCAGGGTGCTGCGTGTTCGGGATGCATCGCCACATCCCATCTCCGAAGCGGAGGGACTGGCCAGCCTGGGTCTGCACCGTCTTGTGCCATCGGTCACCCTGAAACCCTTTGCACCGAGATAATATGGGCTATTGCGATGCCGAGCTTTAGCTCTCGGGGAGGCGGAGGGCCTTTTGGCTCAGATACCGTCTTAATCTATTGGTGCCCTGGTTTGCTTCTGCAGCAGCTCCCTACCTCGGTACATTCCTTAGCAGCTGTAAAGGACGTGGGTGGCAATAGGTCAGCTGGAAATCTCACCTATTTCCTTGCGTGGCGAGGGGCTGGATGCTACCAGCAGCTTTTGCTATGAGCGGCGTAACAGCCCTTGCCCCGGGGCAGGCGTGAACGAGGAGCAGCTCCGAGGGATGGGTGAGCTGGGGAGGATCCAGATGGACTTTTCAAAATCAACCAAACCCACGTATACCCTGCGCCGGGAAGCAGGCGCTGGGCTAAGGGTCTGGCTGAGGCTTTGCGCATCACCTGGGCTTTGTTCCTTAGTTTTGGGATTGAATTTCTAAGACGAGTGGGGCCAGCAAAGCCAGGCACCGTCCGGTTTCCCTTCACAGTCAGGGGAAAGTGCATTTTGTGCCATTTTTCTCCGTGCCCTGCAGCAGGCGTGCCGGCGGGATGGGGCTTTGCTCCGGCTCCATCCCCAGCCAAGCACGGGCATCCCTGGCAGGGCAGAGCCCCGTGGCCACCCCGGCGCTGCCGAAAATGCCGGGGCGCTGCATGTGTGCCGCTTCCATGTGCTCTGGTTTCCAAGGAAACCGCTCGCTCTACATGTGTGTCGCTTAACACCCTATTTGCTTTCATTTGGATAAGTCTTTAATTCCTGTGCAGCCCCGGCTCCACGGGATCTATTGAGCTCTGTGTGTATCCTCAGCGCACAAATCCCTCTCCTGCCTGCCTGCCTGCCTCTTGAAAAGTCCCTGCCTGCTCGGAGCAAGTTTCCTAAACCTGTGGCTAATCGGAGTAGCTGATGCTTTCTGCAGTAATAACTGGATATATCGCTGCTGCTTCCCTCTAGAAATAATTAGCAGGGAAAACACGACACGCAGCGCTGCTGTCACCTGCCACCAGCTCTGCTGCTTTGGCTCCCTTTCGGGTGTCGAAGCGGGGCAGGACGCCTGTGCCCGGGGACACGGGGTGCAAGGCCAGTGGGTAAAGCAATGGCTCCGGCTGCAGCGCCGACCCCTCGGGGAAGGCAGCAGCTCATTGCAGTGGTTAAATGGGAAGGCAGCAGCTCATTGCAGTGGTTAAATGCTAATTGCAAAGCGCCCCGGCGAGAGGAATGGCTGGGGAGCGGGGAAGGGTGACCCTTGCACGGGCCTGGTTGTGTCCCCATTGGCGTGACACTGGTGAGACGCACCGTGTCCTCGCCGGGTCCCGTGTGCCAGCAGCTCCTCCATGCCCCGGGCTGAGCGGAAAAGGGTGACAAGGTGTTGGGGGTGCTTTGTTACCCCAAATTTTCAGCTGTGGTAATCCAAAACGGCTTTTTCCCCCCCTCTTCCCCTTCCTCCCTTCCCTCTGCAAAGTAAGACACCGCCCGTTCTTCTGCGCTGGAGGACTGAGGAATTTTCTGATCTAAACCCGCTTTCCTCCTCTCCAAAAATCCCCGGGGCTGGTTCACGCTTGTGAAGCTGAGCAGCTCCCGTGTCACTCCGGGCTGGCTCCCGTCTGGAGCCCTGACAGCAGCTAATGCTGTTAGCCTGTGTCGAGGAAGGATTTCAGCATTAAAAAAAAAACAACCCAACCTAAAATCACCAGCACTCGGGCTGCTCTGTTGCTTGCAAGCAGAGCCAGCAAAAAACCACCTACCCCGGGTCTGGGGTGCGCAGCACCGCTCGGGGACACCGGCCAGAGGGTTTGCCCGGCTTTCAGGGTGATTTTGCGGGGCCGGTGCGGCCCCGGGAGCAGCGCCCGGCTGCTGGCACGGGATGTGACGGCCCCTGAGCACCGGGAGATTAACTCGGGTCGTGGAGGGCTTTGCTATCTTTAGGTGGAAGGTGAGGGATTGTGCCTCTTAGGGTGGCCCGCAGGTAATGAGAGAGAAAAATCCCTCGGTCCCAGCCCGGCTCGGGGCCGCTGACCCCGGCTCCTGTCCCCGCGGGGGTCTGGCCTCGCCGGCCCCCGCCCGCGTGCGCCGCCACCTTTCTAGGCCACAATCTGTACCGAATTGCGAGCCTGCTGTTAACTTCACTTGCACTCTATTCTCGTGTTTGCTGTTATTTTTTAACACTTTTTTTTTTCCTTTTTTTTTTTTTTTTCATAAAAGCACTATCCTCTCCCCAGAGCCTGCCTGTAGCAAAGGCATGGTCTGTACAACTGCAATTATTTCGAAGAACAGATGGAGTGAGGAGCAGAAAGTCTGTTAATAGTAATAGAAATGCTACATGTTAACCTGGACAGCACACGATGACAGTCCCATGACTACACGTTCTGTTCCCACCAGCTGGGCTCCCGAGCAGAGATGAGAGATTCAGAAACGCCACGCTCAGCTCCGCACCCTCCCCAAAGTTAGAGCTCAAATTCCTTCACACTTCCAGCGTAGGGTTTTTGGGTTGTCGAGCTGCTTCTCCCCCCCCCTTCCTCCGTCCCATTAAATGCTGATTTCAGCACCGGCAAGGAATATTGCTGATTTTTTTCTGGGATGCTCGCAGCGATGCAGCCGGCTGCAGCTGCGATCACTGCGGGGAGGGAGGTGGCAGCCCTGCTCCGAGGTCCCGAGCTTCAGCCTCACGCGGTGGCACCATCACCGCCCCTTTTCCGTGCACATGTCTGCATGCTTGGCGTAAACCCCCCGCGATGCAAATGCCTGGAGCCAGGCTGGGATGAATGCACCAGGGCAGCAGTGCCTTGCCAGCCGCGCTCCCAGGCAGGGCGGTTGCATGAGCTTGGGATTTTCTTTGCAACTGTTGCGAGCTGTTTGCTAAATGGGTTGAAATCCACGTTTTCTGGTTAAACCGGTTCTTGTTGTGGAGGTGGTGTCTGCCGAGGGGGGCTGAGCGATGCATGGTGGGCTGCAAAGGGAAGGGGCTACGGGGGATCTCTGGGCATGGCAATACTCCAGGGCTTGCTTCCCCCAGCCCGGGGTTAGGAAATAGAGTAAAAAGGTTGTCTCTGCCCCAACAATCTCGCTGTGAAAATCCCTGCCTGGTTTCACAAGCGACCGGGGGATTTAGCCACAGAGCTCCAGCTAATTTTGGTGGGAATTGCACGGCTAAATCCCCCAGCCGTTTATGAAACCTCAGCCCTCGGGCACGCTGGAGCGGTGCGTGGCACCGCTGGCGAGCTGACAGATGCACCTGGAGGTTTTATTAGGATATAGATCCCTTAATCTGGGTGCTTGCAGGATAATCTGGTGCCTGAGGTCCTGCCAAATCCCCTGAGATCAGCAGGTTTTCCATCCACAGCCTCCAGAGGTCACTTCAAACCCAGCTCCATCCTCGGGGGACCAAAATATCCACCTTGTCTCACAGCGTCGGTGGCACCCTTGGGTGCTGGACACCCTCAGCGGGGACCCGGGGAGGGCTGTGGGGGATGCTGGGGGGCTGAGCCGGCGTCGTCCATGAGTCCCTGCTCTCTTTGCCTGGTTGCCATTGCCCAGGAGCGGTTGCCCGAACCCCTGAGTGCGTGGCAAGGCAGGAGCTTTGCCTTCTTGCAGCATCCCTGGTGCATGTCGGCGAGCGGCAGCGCGATGCCCCCAGTGCCCTCGCAGCCCTCCAGGGTTAGTCTTTTGGTTAGTTTGGGGTTGGTTGGGTAGAACTTAGCTCCTCTCAGCCACCCAGGCAGAGCCTGGGGTGTCCAGCCTGTCCCCAGCCACTGCCCTGGGGCTGGAGCTGGATTTGAATCCCAAAAATATCCCGTCCCCCTCTCCCAGGTATTGCAACCCTTTGCAGAAAGTCCCCTGTGCGTCGCTCTGCCCTGTGCTGCTGTAGGATGTGGTTAGAGGATGGCTGGCGGGAGAGGAAATTCTCTTTGGTGCCTTTTATTTGGAGGCAGCAGAAAACCCCTATCCTTCCTCTCTTTGAAGAGATTTAGATCGCGAGGAGTAAATCATCGCGAGCGGGCTTGTGGCCCTCGCGTTCTCCCGGTGCATGCTCATCGCTCGCCTTCTCTGTGCATTTTGCATGAATGCAGCTGTCAAAGTGTGCGTGCAGGGGAAAGTGTGAAAAAACCATATATTTTGGGGGCTGATAAAACTCCTGGAGGGATGCTCCTTGCTCACATGCCGCCGGTGCAAGCCTCCAGTCCCGTGCACCGTGCCCATGGCGCTCTCCTCTCCTCTCTTGCAGAGCAAGAAGTACGTGCTGGTGCTGGTGGACCCCGATGCTCCCAGCAGAGCCAACCCCAGGAACCGTTTCTGGAGGCACTGGCTGGTCACCGACATCCCGGTGAGTCGTCTCCCCCCCCGCCCCATGGTCCATACGTTGGGGTCCCAGCAGCTCGGGGCTTCCCCGAGCACCGGGGTGGGTCGGGCGTTCCTGCCCCGGAGGGTTGGATTCCCACGGCGTGCGCATCTCTCTCGGTACGGCGGCATCTCGGTGAAATCCCAAAGGATGAGCGTTTGCAAGAGAAATGTAAATGGTGCTCGGCGTGTAGGTAGGGGAGTGCTTCCTCCGGCTATATAGAGCGAAGCTGGTCCAAAAATATTGCTGGTTGGTTTTTGTTTTTTTTTTTCCTTCTTCTTCTAAGGAAATGCTGAAAAAAACCTGCTTTGAAAACTCCCCACCGCCAGTTTTCTCTGCAGAGACAACCGGTCGTTTCAAACATCTCTTGTTGCCGTGGTTGGTTTTGGGTTTTTTTTGGTTAAAAAAGCGTTTTTGGTGAAAATCTCGCCGGTGCCAAATTTTCCCTTTCGTTTTTTTCCGGTGAGAAAAGTGTTTCTTTATCTTTACCAGGGAAGCAAACAGGGGGGAAAGGGGTTTGGGCTGGATTCCTGCTGCTTCCCAGCTCCGTGGCCACAGGACAGACGGACGGGACAGACGGACGAGCCCTTGCCCCCGCGGCGGGGCATCGCGCCCGGACTGTCCCGGCATATCGCTGGTTTGCTTCCAGAAAGGTTGTGGAAGATCAGTTTGTTCCTCTCCTGCTCGCTTTTATCTTTTAAAAGATTAGGTGTTTCAGCCCTGAATCAATCTAACTAATAATCTTAGTACTAAAGTCTAATTAAGATATCAATTAATTTGTAACATGCATTTAACAAGAAATATCTCGTCATTCTCCTCTATTATTCTCTGAAATTACTGCTGAGGGCTTTTTGTACAGATACCTTAATTAGACTTTTTATTGTTAATGGGAATATTGAGCAAATTAAAATTGGATATTAATACTTTCCATGAATTTCATAATTGGCTGAAAAGTATAAAGCATTCAGAATAATTGCAAGAATAATTGCAGAGATTTGTGTACAGGGCTTTTTTTTTTTTTTTAATCCTTCACAGAAACCCTTCTGCATTTCTAACAACAGGGTCCTGAAAGTCTCTCATTAATTTTAATATTTACTAAACGCAAAGAAGCCCAAGCTCTTGTTTTCCCTTCTGTACACATATCCTTCTGAGGCATTCGCTAGTGCTAATTATTGTGTTTTTCTTTTCTTTTTATGTTTTGCATATAAGGTCATTTAAGCAAAGAAGGGAAATGCGGGATTAAAACCACTTCTCCAGTGCAAATGGGAGCTGGTTGTTCCCTGGCATTTGGGCGATTCAGTTTGCGGTATAAAAGGCCAGAGCGCTCCTTGCCAGGCCGTGCAGGAGGGGGAAAAGGGGATTTTTGGGAAGGAGAAGGGCTTTCCCATCGCCAGGTGCCGCGTCTCTGCCAGGGATGGGGCTGACCCCAAGCCCAACTATTCCTTAAGCTTTCTCATCGTGAGATAAATATATATATACACACACACACACATATATGAGCAGGGAGTTGGACTTGATGATCCTTATGGGTGCCTTCCAACATGAGATATTTTATGATTCTATGATATATTAGATATAAAATATATAATGATATGATCTATATATCCCATATATATGCCATGTTTGTGTGTGTATGTCTCTCTCTCATGTATACACACACGTATATGCATATATATCTCCATTGCACTATAAGACACCACCAAACCCAGCATCATCCTCGCAGGGCACCAGGACAAAATCATCTTGCCCCGGCCCGGAGGTCGGTCCCCATCGCCGGGGTGCGGGCGGGGGCGGGGGGTCCCAGCATACCCCCCCCACTCCCCAGCCCCCCGGGGCCGCAGCCGGAGCTTTCCCCAGGCCCCAGCCCCAAATGGCTTCCCCCGGGCTCAGACACATGGTGTCTCGTTGAAATGCAGATCGTTGGGGGGTATATGGAAGTCTTGGCTCCGAGGAGCTTCAGCTGACAGGCTTATTTGCACACTGGCTCTAAAATAACCGTGTAGGCTTTACATGACACCTTCTGTTGCTTTGGTGCAGAGAGGGGCTTTCAAGTGCCTTTCTCCGGGAGGGACGGGGCGACCGGCGCGATGGCTGGGGGGCTGCGAAAGCCCCCGTGCCCCGGCATTCGCCCCGGCATCGCCCCAAGCATCACCCCAGCACCGCTTTGCCATCCCCGGGTTTGGAGGGAAGCGGCTCTGGCAGCACTAAATGCCGTTATAGGTGCTGCAGTACCTTGGCACGCCACCAAGTTTGGGATTCGGCTCTGAATTTGCTTTCCCAGGTGGGTTTCGGGATGGAGCATCCCATCCCCGGCAGTGCCGCTCGCCGTTCCTTATCAGCCGCTGCTCCGCCGCTCCTCTGATTGTCAAACACGAGAGATGCTTTCGCTCCCATTCAAAATAATTTAAATAAAAATGTTGCTACAAAGTGGAATAATATCTTTTGATGAATGTTTTTAAAGCCCTTTAGGTTTTCATGGTAATTTGCAGTGTAAAATTATTTAGAGATAAGAGCCAAATTAGCTCTTATAGGCGGAGGTCGATATGTCCCGTTATCCATGCAAGCAGTGTTTAAATATAATCAGCCTTTACTCTAATGCAGCATAATTGTTCATTTGAAATAGCTTTTTTTTTTTTTTTTTTTTACTCCATTCAATGAGTCATTAAAATATTCAAAGGATAATGCAGTGAATTGGAAATGAATGTATCACATTATCCTGTATATACTGTAGAGCATCAGGTAACTAGGCAGAGTCGGAACCAGTTTACAGAGAAATCCAGTAAACAAGGCTTTCCATTTTGTATTCAGCGGGGGAAAGAAAAAGAAGGGAGAAAATACTGCCCTTCAAATGGAAAGCTTTCCGTCTTTATTCCCCCTCCTTGGGGAGGAGGAAGGGGGAGGGAGAGAGCAGCAAATTTGTACTCCACTAAAGCCTCGCTGCTTTAACTTTATTTTTATCAAAATATGTTTGTAACAGAAAGTCGTTATGGAAACCAGTTCTGCCAGCCGGGAGAAATCCTGCGCCAGGCTGGAGCGGAGCGGGACCCACCGGGCGCTGCTGCCGCCCGGCACGGCTCGGCTCGGCTCGCTCCGCCGACCCTTTCCCCGGGCAGGGGGCTTGGGGAAACCGAGGCACGGAGCTGGTCAGAGACCAGTCGGGGGTCAGGCAGGGGAAATGTGTCAAATGTGTTTGAAGGAGAGCCGTTCCCACCCCATCGCCCATCACGTCAAACGGCTTTTCTCCCCACGGTGGGTGCCCTGGGGTCCAGCCCCCGGGGGCTGCGGTCGCTCCCGTGGCTTTGCAGAGCGGGATGGGGAACCCGTGGGTGCGGGACCGGTGGGTTTGGGTGCCGGGGGACCGCAGCATCCCTGCCCGGTCCCAGAGGTCCCGGCACCACCGGTGGTCTTCGCCCGCGGCGCCTGCTGCTGCGGTTGCATTTGTCAGAGCGTTTTTCCTTGCCGGCTGATAAACAGGCTCTGGGTTGCAAGTGTCACCATAGAAACAGGTGCTATCTTAAGCAAACAAGGGCTTTATTAACCTTAAAAGTTATGGGATTTTTGCACATTTAGAGGCCGGGAAGGGAGCCGCGGGGGGCCGGGTGCTTGCCCACGCGTGTGGCCTTGCACCCTGCCCCAGCGAATGGCCCCGTCCCCATCCCAAAGGGACACCGATGCCCGTGCTCTGAAGCAAACTTTTTCCCTGTAGCGTGTTTATACAGCACGTGGTACGGGGGTCAAGCTTAGCCAAAATGTTTGGATTTATTAAAAATAATAGAGAGCAGTTGTTACTTGCCGGCTGCTGTTATTTCTGCCCTCGGCTGCTGGGCGAAGCACCGTACGGACGCGCCGGGGACGCTTTTGCCGAGCACTTGCGATCCGGGCGTGTTCAGCATCCCAGCAGTGCCAGCTCCGGCCAGCGAGGAGAAAAATCTTGCAGGGGCAGGGAATGCTTTTTACTGGGTTAATTGATGCTAGTGGGGGAAAAAAAAAAAATCAGCTTTTGGGTATCCTGCAAGGCAGGAGGGATCTCTGTTTTGGGAGATGCTGGAGTGCCGGGGGCAGGTTTCCCCACCTGCGCCGGGCCTGATCCTGTCGCCATCCAGCACCCGCGGTCCCCGCGTCCCCGTGCCACTGGTTGGCTCTGCGACACGCCATGGGATCACCGATCCCTGCCGCGCCGGTGGGATCCGCCACCTCACGGGGGGGGGGACACGGGGCTGATGTATCGGTCGGTGCCGCAGTATTGTTCCTCCTCGCTGGGGCCCTTTTGACTCTACTTTTTGGTGGTTAAACCGCGGGTTTGAAAGGGAAAGAACAGAGAGAAATGTTGTTTTAATTGATGACTTGGCTCCTTGGAAGAGTCAGTTCCCCGGTGTGAGTTTCTGTCGCTGCTTGTTAATGAAGGCTTTATTAATAAAAGAAAAAAAAACCTAAGGAAAAACA